GCGTTCTATGAGCAAACATGATGAATTTTTGATTTATTTTTGTTTTAATATTAATTTTAAATTAAATTCAATAAAATTTGAAATTGTTGTTTTTACTATATTTATATTGTAAAAATTAGCTGTAAATAATTATCTTATTTAATATTTTAATATTTAATATAGGCTTTTTTGTTTCTTTTGCGAATCAAAAGTTATTTTCATTATTTTTAAATTATTATCAAATAATTTTTAATATTTTTATTATTATATAATATTCGATATAAATTATTATTATATTATTTTTTCTATGCATATAATCATTTGTATAATAGTTTTAGAATTTATATATATAAAAAATTCATATTAAATAATATTTTATTATTATACAATAATATTTAAAATATATTATTTTAATGATATTGCGTTATTTTAATTATATATTGTTATATTTTAATATATTTTAAATTTTTAAATAATGCATGTATATATGAAATTGTGACGCGTGCTATATATTGAATAAGAGTATATTTTTAAAATATATATGCAAACTGTTCAAAATAAATATAATAAGTTAGATATACTACATATATCTTGATAAAAATTGAACTAAATGTAATAATTTTTGAAAATTTGAAAATATTTTATTGAAAAACATAGCATATATGTACATAATGTAAATATATACTTAATATGAATATGTAAATAAGATTTTATTTGTTTTGATATCTATAGGAAATATTTAAATTTTAAATTTTATTTTAGTTTTTGTATATATGTATATATACAACGCGTATAGATTATTTTTAACTATTATAATGTGGCATTATGTTCGCTATTCTTCGTTTGAGAAATTAATTGAATTAAACTTTATATATAATCGGTGTATATGGGTGACATGGTGTATAAATTCATTGTAAATTTATATATATATTTTTTAAGTGGAAGTGCTTTTTATTTTTAAAACAGAAATTTTATAGTTATTTTAAAAAAATTTATTGATGAAATTGAAAAATTTCTGTAAAAATAAAAATATTTTTTTTAATACATATATGTACATATAAATATATATCCATATACGCATATATATACATATATATATATATATATGTATACGATTGTAATAGCTCAAAAGTATTTAAACTTAAGTCTAATAGTTAACTTTTTTTAATTTTATTTTTATTTAATTTTTTTTTTTGTTAGTTTTACTTATATTTAATATTTATAACAAAATCTAAAATATTTTATTATTTTTTTTTCTCTATATATGTATGTATGTATGGATCTTTATTTAATTCATTCAAACATTTTATATATTGAACACATATTTTGCGTAACAATTACATATATATATATGTAATATAATTCGCGAACTTTGCCATATTATGAAAAACCATTATTATTACATTATACTCTTTTATTTTAAAATTTTATATCCATTTTTTTGCGAGCGATAACCATATAATTTAAGAATGAATTAATAAATTATAAAATATAATATAATAATAATAATTTATTATTAATTTTGTATATGTATATCTATACACATCTATAGAATATTTTCTATACATGCGCGTATTTGTGTATTAATGTGAATTGTCGTATATTTGTCGTATAATATTTATAAATATGAAAATATTATTAAAATTGTTGTTTTATTTTTTTTATTATTTAAGATCACCACTTGAAAAAATTCCATTTTTTTTTTTGTTGTGTTTAACAAAAAAACACAAAAGAAAAAGAGATTATGGAATAAATTTAATTTTTTTATATTGTATAATAATTAAATTAATTATATTAAAGGAGATTTTTATTAATTTACTCTAATTATTTTTTTTTCCTGTTCTTAATTTATCTATATTATAATAATTATTTTGTATGTATAAAAGAAATAATTATACGAGTATGATTTAATAATTATTATTAATATTTACAAAATATTTTTCCGGATTGAAAAATGGAAAGACTCTTTTGAGTTTGTCTGTGTGGATTTTTTTTTAAATTTTATAATTATCTAAAAATGAATATTTCAAATTCATTTTCTTTTTAATGGTGTAGGTATATAATAATTTTAATATGAAAATGATATTTTGATTTTATAATATTTTATAATTTATAACTAATTAATATGAAGTTATACTGCAGGACAGTTTTTTGTTTTGAAAATTAATGAATAAATTAATGAATATTTACAAGAAGTATTCATTTTATTTGAAATATTATGTAATGAAAATTTTTATTTGATTTCCATGAATTGTAATATTATAAAATGCAATACACAAAATAATTATATTTCGAATTTGTTTTTTGGGAACTTGATCGATACTAATATATATATATATATATAGGTATATGTATATATATTTTCTTTATAATTATATATGATTTTTATATCATATATATAAAAAATTAAAGATATGTATTTAAAAATGTAATCATATTATGTATGTTAGTTTCTCTACATAATAATTATCCAATTGATCATAGTTTACTCTGGCATTAGTTTACTCTATACGTATTCTTTGAAATATTTAATTATATTTTATTGTATAAATAAATTTATGAATTTTTTATGAATTTTTTAATAATTATTTTTAAGTTTTAATTTAATTTTAAATTAAAAGTTATTATAAGTATATTATGGTATATAACACAATATACAACATTTTAATTGGAAAATTAGTGCAATAACAGAAACAAAAAAAAATAAAAATTTCATATTGACAAGATAAGTGACAGTTTGAAAGTTGACACTGAAGTTTTTGATTTGAGTCTCTTATTGTAATTATTTTGTGGTTCGACAATATATTAAAATAAAATTATAATCAAAAATTAAAATAAAAAATTTTACTAAATTTATATTTTATTGTTAAAATTTTATTAAAATGTACTAAATTAAAATATTACGTATTAAATTTTGTATGTATTGATGAAAATACATAGTAGAATTTTCCCTGACATAATGGTATAACTTTAGAGTAGAAAATGGGTTAAATCATTTAATTCGTTTTCGGCTTAAGAACCAATTTATTTTTAATTAGTTTCAAATTTCAAAAATATATTTGAAACATTATTTGTATTATTTCTTGTAAACTTAATTTTTTAAGTATACATATTATATCTATTGTGAGTAATTTGGAATCATTTTCGTTTTTAATGCTAATTCGTTTTTGGGCATGGTCATAGAGCTGTTGTATGATATCGTAGATATATATGTATATGCATATGTGACGGCCCAATTTGAAATCATAATCGCAAATTATAGTTTATATTTTATTTTCTTATGATACATATGTAAGTATGTATGAAATTTTATTCTAAATTCATGTGGAATTTATATTATGTAATATGGCATCTTGATATTAATAATTATTTTTTTATAATTTAGATGTTTAGAAATGCAAATTTTTTATTATTTGCTATTAAACTGTAATTATATCTAATTAATGTATTTCAGTTATATATAAAATTTTTTTATAATACTATATTAAATTTATTGTATTTTATTTATATGCATATGTATAGTATATATTATGAAATATTTAATATTTCAGAAATATTTGATTTGGGATGCTTATTATAAATATTATATAATTATTATATGAATTATGAATTAATGATATTATTTATTTATATTACTTAATTTTATTTTATTTATATTAATATTATATTATATAAACATAATTTGTATGAAATTTTAATTTTAGTTCTTTTGGTTTTTTTTTCTTTCCTTTTTTTTTCTGTTCTTATTCACGTTTTAATTATATAATAATAATGATATTAATTTTAATTATGATAATAATATATGGATAATAACAATTTTCAATGTATAACAATGCCATATATAGTATAAATACTATTAATAATGTTATATTAATAGTATTATAATTTCTAGAATTATATAATTAATAACAATAAAATGTTATATAATAATAAAATAATAATTATTGTATAAAAAAATTAAATAAAAAATTTAAATGAAATCAATATAAAAAAGAGTAAAGAAAATTTTTAATAATTACTCGTAACTTTATATGTATACCGTAATTTTTTTAAATTAAAAAGTTGTTATAGTTTATTTATATGGTATATATATAAAATATATATACCATATATATATATATATATATATATATATATATACCATATATATATACCATATATTGAATATATATTCATATGGTATATATATGGTATATATATGGTATATATTATATGGTATATATATGGTATATATATATATATATATATATATATATATATATTTGATTTTTTTAATAATCCTGTTTTTTTGTTATATAACTACTGTTTAATATTTTTTAATTTTTTTCTTTTGTATTTTGATAACCGTTCATAGTTCTATTCTATATTCATAATATAATCACTTTTATAATAATTATAATTTTTTTTCATATTATTTTTTTTTCTACAAAATACATTATGTTTCTTTTTTATATATAAATTTTTTATTATAAATTTAACGATTTCTTTTTTTTTTTTTTTTGGATTTTAATTAACATTAATTTTTAGTTTTTGAATTTTTTTTATATATATTATAATAAAGTTTAAAGATTAAAATATAATGTGAATTTTATATTATTTTTAGGTATATGAAAATTGAATTAATAAATTTTCGCTTTTATAAATAATTTATGCTTTTATGAAAAATAATATTGAAGAAAATCGAAAATGAATATTTTTTTTTTTAAATTTCTAATTATATTGGTACATTTCTTAAAAAAAAAACACAATTCAACACAAAATGTTTGGACACTTGTTTTTAACAAACAAATTTCGTATTTGTTTTGAAGAAGACAAAATATTTTCTCCGTGGCTCTTACTGTGGTTATATGAAACTTTTTTCAATTTTTGAATTTTTATTTCATAGTTGCTTATTTCATTTACTAAATGCTAAGAATAGTTTGGAAAAAATTAATAAGGTGTTTTTTGGGCAAACATTAATACAAACTCAAATCTAACGTCAACTTCTGACGCACTGTGTCTTGAAGATTTTCATGTCTTAGTTCTGGTTTGCTACAAATACATTTCGCATAATATATGGCATGATTTCTTCGACTCTTGAAGCCACATAATGAAATGTCAAATTCATATAATGAATTTAACACTCAACGGCGGACGATTACTGTTGTTAAAAACAGAATTCATAAGCTTTCATAATAATTTTAACTGTTTTAACTTTTAATTCATGAAATAATTTTTTAATCAATATTAATATAAAAATTTCTATTTGATAAAATTCACATTTTTAGTTTAATCTTTAAATTTCATTTTGACGAATATTTTATTTTATGTATATAATATCTTTATTTATTTTTTTATTTTTTTTTATTTTAACTTTTTTCCTTTTATAATTATATATATATATATTAATTTTTTTTTGTTTTTAATTTTTTTTAAATTACTTAAAAATAAAACTTTTTATTCATCATCCTCTTCCCTGAAGAGATATGTGCTCCAGTAAACCAAATTAAATAGGGCGAATACTAGTGGAAACGTTATTCTTGAAATAACGTCGATTCTCTTCGATCTAGAACATTGTCTTAGATAAATATTTATAATTATTAATTAATTAGGATAACAAGAGATTAGCTTTTTGATTTGTGAAATTTTTTTTTTTAGCTGTCTTTTTTGTATATATCAAGTTTTTTTTGTTTGTTTTGTTTTTGTATATTTTGTGGGGATGTTATATAGATTCTGTTCAGTGTTTTTTTTTAATTTATAATGTAACTGTATATAATATATATATATGTATATATTTAGATATATAAATTGTTATAAATAAGTGATAAAAAAAAAATTGAAAACCAAATTTTTTTATACTTTTAAAATGTAAATTTTTTTTTTTTGAAAATTTCAACGCATACATGTACGTCATTTTATTTTAAATGAGTTCAAATTGAGTTGAAATTATTTTTAAATTATACGTAGATAATTTTTTTTTATATTAATCTTTGTATTTTATATACAAATAAATTTCTGCACAATTTAGGGATGGCATACTACCTTTCCTTTGTAGCTCCTACTGTAAATTGTAATATAGTAGAAGTATGATATTCTATTACAAAGTCATATGCAAATTACGGTTAAAAAATATAATTTGCATTTGTGCAACTTAAGTTAAAAAAATTTGAAGTGGTTATTTTCACATATTTTTATATATGCGTCTTCACTTACTTAATATAAATATATATAAAAGGAACTTTCATTTGCGGCCGTTTTGAACTTTGGAAAAACTATAAGACAATTTTTAAAGTAATCATGTAAATTTTTTTCCGAAATTGATTAAAATTTAGTTTATTTTTTATTAAGATTAGATTTAAATTATTTAATATGAAATATGTATAATATAATTTTTTTTTTTAAATTTTATAAAAGTGCTAGGTTATTGTAATATATATCATTTAGACTCGTGTTTTTGATTGAATCAATTTGTGATTTAATGACGTGTTATTCTGATTCAAAATCACTTTTTATTTAGAAAAAATTAAGATTACAAAAACAAACGCAATATATTATCTATTTTTACATTCACTGTTAAAGCAAATGTTAAACTGGGAGTTAGTATTTATTTAAAACAAAATAACTATTTTCAATTCTATATTATGTTATGTATTTTCAAATTTGATTGCTTCATTTTCCTTTGTTTAAGAAATAATAATTTTTCATGAAAGAAAGCGAGAAAGAGAGAGACAGTGAAACGGAGACTGAAATTATATTGTTATATAACAATTATTGTATATATAGCTGCTTAATGTACATATACCATAAAATTACAAAGTATATATGATTTAATGTCGAATATATCATATATAGTTTAAAAAAGAGGTTGTCAAATACATACCGTATAAATGCATATATTATAATTTGATTGACTTACATAACCAAATAAATATTCTACTTGAATAATATTATATGTCTATATATATTTATATATGTATATATATATATATATATAACAAATAAGATGTTCTTTTTTCAAATTTTTGTGTATATAATAGAAAATATACATGCATATTAAATATATGTACATTATAATAATAATTTATTAAATTTAAAAAGAATAAAGTAAGATATTAATAATTTTATACAAATGTATAATATATAAGAATTTTACTTACTATATATATATAAGCTTGTATATAATATATATATTTATAATTTTTATTTATATTTATATATATATATGTATAGAAAAGCGATAATAAATTAAAAAATTAAATTATAAACTTGTTATAATAATAATATGTATATATTTAAAATATAAAATTGAAATTCGCATAATAATATTCAACTCAATTTTAACTCAATTTTAAAATATTCATATATTAAAAAATTTTATATAATTAATAATATTATGAAAAAATTTTGAAAAAAAATGTAAAAACAAAGAAAAAAAATTTTTATTTAAAAAATTGCAAATTATTGTGAATGGTTTTTGTTTTTTCTATCCAGATGCGCTTTAATAATATTGTAAATTAATTTCTTTTATATATTATATATATGTTATTATGTATTTTGTATTTCAGAAAGATGTTCGTAAATGTGTGTGTATTTATGTATTTATGTATATATATATATATATATATATATATATAGAAATTACAATTGGAGTTTTCATATAATTTTATTATTTTAATATTTATTGAAATGAAATAAAATTTTAAAATAAATTATTCTTTTACATTTGGGATGATTATTTTAATTGTAAATTGAAAATTATATTATGATTATGAATTTAAAATTATTGATCATAAATATTGAATTAAATTGACATATAGGTATATAAATTAACGGTTATGTATATTATATACATATGTATATATAGAAATGGTAGAATAAATATTAGAATTTCAAAAAAAAAATTCAAATTTTTAATTTTTAAATTTGAATTATATTATATACCATATAAGAGAATCACCATACATTATAATAAAAGGTATAATTAATATTGAAAGAATTTTGAAAAACTCCGTTATATGTTATATGTATATACATATATATATAAATATATATATATATGTGTGTATTTTCTTTTAATTTTAGAAAATATTATATTGTTATGTGAATTAGTCTTTTATAGTATTTTTCTTCAATTCATATTTCTTATATATAAATACAAAATATTCATATCTGTATACAATGTAAAATTTAATTAATATAAAAAAATTTTATTCATAATTAATGTTATACTCTGCATAACTATATATTTGTTACTCTTTAATTATATTTAAAATTTAATTAAAATATTTTAAAAGTTGTTTTATTAAAAATTAATTATTTATTAATTTTTATTCTATATATTTATAAAATATATATTAAAAAATGATTTCTTGTATACTATATAAAATTAAATTTCATGTTTTTCAAATAATTACAATAATTCAGATAAATTATTATTTGATAAAAATTATATATTTTTTATATATTAATAAATTTAATAATTTTTAATTAAATTATACATTGCATATATGTATATGTTTATTTGTCATTTAATATAAGGAATTCGGTATATATGTTTTATATATATAATTAAAAAAATTTTTTTTGTTTTGTTCATAAATCTTAAATTGAATAATTTTTATATATAAAATTTATAAAGTTAATTAAAATAAAGAACATGTTTAATTATATGTGAAAACAAATAACCAGAAACATTGATATTAGGTATATAAAGAAAAAAACTTTTCAAATCAAAACCATATTCAAACATTTTTTTTTTGTATTATTGGAATTAAAAAAAAAGACAAAAGTCACAAAACAATAAAACACATTTTAATTAGTAGAAGAGATTTGCTTTTAATTAATTTTTTTTTTTCAAAAAATTTTTTTTTTTTTATCAATGAACAATCAAAACAAATAATGGGAAAAAAAGAAAAAACTATTTACAAACATAAATATTTATATATACTTATTCCTTTTATATAATTTGAAGTTTGCACTTATTTATAGTAGTCTTTTATTTTTTATATATATTTTTAGGTTTTTGTTGTGGTGGTGAATATTTGAATGTTTTGAAGATTTTAAGCCATATACAAAAGAGTAGAGAATCCGATGTGATATAAATAAATATATAATATGTATACATTTATAAAGGTAATATAAAAAATATTTATATATACTTATAATATGCTAGTTATCTCTAATTCGATAATCATCTCTTAAAAAATGTTTTTTTTAGACATTATTCTTCATCTGATGCTGGCAACATTGTGGTATTTAATGTATAATTTAAAATTGAATGAAGGTTTTTTCTCAAAGGATATACTTCAGTAATAATACAACGAATGTTACTAGCAAGTAATAATGACTAATTATAAATATAGAAGGCAACTATGTAGGTATATGCATATAATTTGTAACAATAATTAAAAATATGTCGAATTGTTAAATAATAAATTTCATTGTAGTACTATTACTGATGTTTTGCGTTCAGTTCCAGGAAGTAAACAATATGGGTAAAAAATCTTATTGTGTAGAGAAGATGTATCGAAAAAGATATATTATACTGCATATTAGAATGAATCATTTAAAAAAATTGAGTTTGAAGGAAACAATAGATTATAGAAATATGTGAACAGATAAAAAAAGTATAAATTGTTTTTATAGTTTTTTATTTAAAATCACCGTTGTATGTGAAAAGTCCATTTTGGTGCTTTTAGATTCCTGTTTATCATAAATAAGCTTAGAGAATCTTATACAGCTAAATAGAAGAATTAAACATTAATTTTTTTTTGAGAAAAAAAGGTTGGAACATTGATTCCGATTCAAAATTTTAGATATTTTTGGATGGGTTATTAGCTGTATAGTAGGTGAGAGTTTTAAATTTTTGCAAATATTTTTTAACTGCTTTTAAAATTTAGTTTTTATTTGAATAACTCAGTTTTTTTTTTTAAAGATTCATTCTATTTTATAATTATATAATTATTAATTACGCTTACATATATACTTAAATGAATAATAAAAATAAAAAATAAGTAAAAGAAAACGAAAATAAATTGAATATTAGTTTTGTATGATTAGAAAATTTAATTAAAGAAACTGAAATATATAATCAAAATATGCAAATTAAATAAAAATTTTAAATAAATTACGATAGAAAACAAAAATTGTATACATACATATTTAAAATAAAAAAATGAGATTTAAAAATTCACTAAAAAAAACTGGATTTATAATATGGTTATTGTCAAACTATATATATATAGTTATTGTAGTGGTTGTAAGGAAATGATTTTGGAGAGGAAATATTGTTTGTTGTTATTATTAATTGTGTCTATGTGGCTGAGATTTTCAAATCATGTACATAATATATAATTGAACATAAATATGCAAAATTTAAGTAAATTAATAAAAAAACTAGAACTATATGGCAACATTATACGAAATGTTATTTGTTTCATGTATAGAAAATCAAAAATTTTTCTTTATATTCAATTAATTAAATAATTCAATTAAAATATTATATTCAATTAATTTAATGACATTTTTTTTCAAAAATTTATTGGGCAACAACAGCTAATTGTGAATTGTTTTTGAACT